CCCCAAAACCCCAAAACCCCAAAACCCCGAATGGGATAGATATTCACATCTAGGAGAGAGAATTTTTAATAAAATATATATATATATCGCCATATTTTGATGCTAATTAAAGGAATTTAGCAGTAAATAAAAACTGTTGCAATTTTAGCCAACTTAAATTATTCGTCAACAGACTTTAAAGTTTGAATTTACAATTTTAGTCTGCCCCTTATTCACATTTATATTGTTAGTGTTTAAATTACCTCCTACGTTGTTAGTAATTTGCTGATTCTTATTAAAGCTTTGAGTTAGCATCATTTAATTAAACTTAGCTGTCATTGGAACTCTAGATGTCAAAGTAATTTCATTCACCTCATCATTACTCTAACTATCCACTACACCTTTAACAACACTTTATCTTCCTTAGTTTGGATTTCTCTGAATTATCTGTTCTAGGTTTCTTGATATTTTAATACCAGCACCCTTCTAGCCTGGTTTGGTTATTTTAATCTTTTTCTCTTCAAAACTCTGCTTTGCTGGCTATTTTACAGGTGAAATTCTTCCCTCTATGTCATCAATCTTATTTTGCATGAGTAGTTATGATACTGGCAAACTACCACCAATATCTCCCGTGTCCAGTTATTTACTTTTCCTATACTACTCCAAGAAAGTTTATTTATTCTGGACCTTATTTGCTGCAATCTTCTTAAACTAAATATTTTTCAAATCAATACTACTAGTCAACTCCAACTTATTAGAGACGCTATTATTATTAGCATTCCTATCGGTGTCAACAGAGGAGGTATCATTGTTGCCATTCTTTTTTGTGGTGCTTATTACTTTTCCTGATATCTTATTTGAACTGCTTCCTCCTCCAGTTGTAGTCATTGAAGAGTGATTTGATTTCTAGGTATTATAATCAGATACTTAAGTTCCTATAAATGCAGATTAAAATCTGAGGAATTTACTGCTATTTTATTGGCTGTTAGTTTCTCCTGCTCCTGCTGCATAATTTGTATAGCCAGAAGTTTTCCTACTCTATGTAAGATACTCATTTTGAATAAGCATTCTATGTCTGTCTTGAGGACTAAGGATTGAATTTGGATTTAGAGTATTGAATTTTGTTGCAGGGGAGTTGCAATCATTAATATCTGGCTTGACTTCATTGACAATAAGTTCTGGATGTTCATCAGTGTATCTATTCTTGTGAATTTAATTTTAACCTGAAGATTTAAGCTCTTCAATCTGCTTTCTAGCAGCTGATTGGAAATCAATATCTTTGACGATAAATCCCAAGCAATATTCTTTAGGGTCAGGGAAGGTGTTATCAAATTGAAAGATATCAATATTTATCCTTTCATCAGTCTCTAGATCGTTAAACTCGAATCCATCCTTTTCTTCCTCTGTGCTTAAAGAGTGTCGGTAGTTTTATTATTTTTACTGCATAGAGAGAGTATTTTAAGATTTATCAAATCTTGGATAGCACCAAACTTATCTGAATTCATCGATTACGTAAGCAGACTTTTTAATATCCAATAGAATTGCTGGATTTGATCTCATTTATTGCAAGAGATTTTCTGGAATCCTATTGAATTGAACTTTGCCACTTAGTGGAGTGAATCCAAATTAATCGCAAATTATTCTTTGAGTACTCAGAGATTCAGAAGCTAAAATACTCATTAGTAAAGCTGACAATTTTCTCAGTACTATTGAAAGTCTAAATATTTATTTAAATTACATTGATCGTTCGGTGCATATAGTAACTGAAGCAGAAATTCTAGACCTTAAGAGCCATACTGAGTAAACACCATCGCTTCCAGTACTTCACTTGAGGTGATTGAGTGTCCTTCTATTTCCCTAAATTCAAAATAAAGAGTTCCTTCTTATTTACTTGCAAAGCTCGAATAATTTTTGTACATCAATTTTCTCAATATCTCCTTGATTAAATCCATCGATAAGCGAGCTATATTTGTTTAATTCTGGATTTTAATATCCTCTCAATCTGCCTGGTGAGATTCCTTTCTTCAGCTAATTAGGACTTTGCAAATTGATCTCTTCAACTAAAGTGGATGATAAAAGGGTATTTTTACTTCTCCCTCTTTAGTTGCTTTAGTAGTGCTGCTGAATCATTTGCTACTTCATAGAATAGATATGCTCATCAACGTAGAGTTGTCTATAGGATAATTAATAAATATTATACTAAGAATACTTGTTTTATGAATTATCACGATACTAAGTTGTTACACTCATTTTTGTTTTATTATTTATACTTTAAACAATATTTCTTCTTAATATTTTCAATCCCTCTCGCCATACTGAGTAAACACCATCGCTTCCAGTACTTCACTTGAGGGAATTGAGTGATTATATAAATTCTTGAATAGTTTTATAAATAATTAATTCAAGAATGTAAAATTAGCAGTAATAACAGCAAAATTAGATTTTCAACTAAAGATCTCCTCATTCTTTGGGATCTCAGGTCAAGCCTTAGGGATAGCAGAATAGATTTTAAGACTTCAGTCCTCTGCAGAACCCTAATATTGTTAAGTACAACTATGAATACAACATGCAGCCCACTCTACAGCCAAATCCATCAGGTTTACTGAATGTTAATGAGTAGATTCAATTATTGAACGATTAACAACAAACATAAAAAATGGCTCAGTTGAATATTAATAGGATTTTGGTTGATTAGCAATAGCAATAGTAGAATAGGCTAAGAGATGCAATGAGTAGTGAATCATTGAGAGTATAAAGAGGAGCACATCCGAGTCTGCTTTAATAAGAGTAAATGTAACAGAATCCATCTATGAACAATGGATTTTCATCTCTTGCATAGTTTTAACAGCAACAAGCACAATAACAGTAGTAGTAAAATGCTCCTATAAATCTTCAAAACTTAGCCTCTCCATCGATGAGCGCCTTGATGTAGTAACTGTAATAACAGCAATAGTAATTGAATCCAGGACATAATCCTCTATTATTAAATGAATAGATACAACAACAACAACAAAATCCACAGTATCTTCAATTGATTCTCCAACAGCAATAATAACTTCAATTAATGCAATCTCTGATGAAGTAAGGGACTCCATCACATCAATAAAACTAATCCTAATCTCTACAATAAATCTCACAGTAAAGAAATGTCAACCCCAACTAATCTGTAGATATCACAAATCTAATGAAAGCTTCAGTCCCCAACCTTTTGAACCAATAACAGCAAATGATGTCGCTAAGCTAGCAAAATCCTCTTTAACAATAGCTTCTTTTGCAATAATTACTCTAGCAACAGCAACTTTAGCCTTAGCTTTAGAATCTCAACCCTACAGGAATTAATTAGCCTATTATCAAAGCAACCCCAGTTTTAAGTGAATTGAACACCTAACTGAACACTCCAATGGATACAAGCAGGATTTTAAGTTAAATTTAAACACCATCTCAGCTAGGTTAATTGTCCTAGCCTGGCTAAGGCAATGGGCTTCCTGGACAGCATTAGCAATTTGTTTAGAATTATTAGTAGATCCAAGACAATCTAAATCAGTATAGGAAATTAGCAACATACTTAGAGTAGATGGAGGCCTAAAAGAAATAATCCAAGCAGATTCCTCAGTAAATGCCCCCTTAGCAGTAAGTCTAGATGTAATAAAATCTAGCTAGTCAACAATAAATTTAATAGAATTAATTACTCTTGACCTAATAGTTGCAATAACAATAGTAGTTATAGCAATAGCAAAATATATAGTAGCAGAGCATTGCTTAGGGTAGTGAGTTATTTGATCAATCTAGAATAATAGATGAAAGAAATGTATCAAACTCTCGACTTGGTTAGCATGAAAGCGTTTAAACTAGATAAAATCCTTAACAACAGCAATAATACAATATAGCTTAGCATAACTACAATCAGTAGTAATAGTAGATTTAACAGTAGCATAATCAAAATTATGATCAACATTAGCAGTAGTAGTAACAGAGATAGATCTAGCAGAAGATATCTCAGCCACTTACAAATAACTAGCAGTAATAAAACGAGACAATCACATGGCCATCTCATGGGAAGAATAACAATTCGGATATAGTCTCAAATCATGAAAAGAGCTTTGCTTCACCTTCAAGCAACGGTCAAGGCTAGAGTTTTTAGAAGGTTTCAATTGATAATATTGATCCAGTAATTGTTAAGTAGATAGATAGCAGATAGAATCAAACACTGGCCTAGCAATAATCCTATGTATCTGAGCTAGAGTATGAATCCAAATTCATAGACTGCGAATTCGATAACAGAGGTCTTAGAATTGAAGGTACAGTTAGAAATATCTAGCCAAGTGATCAAGCTATTAACTTCAATCAGAGTAATTAACAAAATCAGCAGCATTTTTACAACATTGACTCAGCGCAATCAGACACAAATAGAAGTGGAATATAATAAGAGGATGAGATTGCATCTCTGCATAATTAATCCTAAATCTCTGCAACAAGAGCAAATATGATGAATAGAACTATGAGTGATCCTAAATTAAGATCACAGGAAAAGACAATTAATAATGAGGAATTAAACCCTACTAAGATCATAGATGAAAAACCTGTTGCAAACAATTAATTGACTTTCGAGCAACTCCTTGAGAGTAAACTGCTTGAGTAGAATATAGACGAAGGCCAAAAGAAATATAATTCGAATCATAACAGTGGTCATAAAAGAGAGTTTTTAAGAAAGAATTCTAACATTAGAACAGCTAACATTGAGAGTCAGAAATCTTCGAGCAAATCATACAAGTATTATGCTGATAATTTTGCTAATTAATAGGCAGATAGTCAAAGCAGCACTGTATTAAAGTAAAACTAGTCTCCAAGAGTCCAGACTGAATTACCGCTTAAAAGAAATATGACTCATAATGAATCTTTAAGTCTATCAAATAAGAAGTCAGTGTAAAATTCAATCACAAAGTCAAACAAGAAATCAAGATAGTTGTCAAATATGCATTCTCCTAACGGAAGTCATCATAATATTAATAGACCAAATTCATAGTAAAAAACTAATGAACACCAAAATTCAGCCAAATCGGTTAGATCTGTTCAAAAGAAGCAAAGTAATTAAAATACTACAACAGGAAATAGCGCTTCAAAATCTGGTCAGCCCTCAGCGGATCAATCAATTATTACAAGCAATAAGAAGTCTAATAAGCAAATTGACAAAAGTATGAAAGGATAAGATCTGAGTAAAAAATTAGATCCTAAAAATGAATTAACTGACAATCTCTTGAGCATTGATGATCATTAGATAGTTCTATCAAGCAGAAATAGCATCGCTGAATTTGAGCAACTCGAGTAGGAATGCATTGCAAAATACCTTTAAAATCAATCTCATTAAGTAATTGATCCTGGAATGCTTGATAAGGAGAGTTCATTCAATGATACTTAATCAACCTAATAAAAAAAGAGATAACCCATGATTAATAAAAACAAAAAGGATGATAAAAAGACCCCTATCAAGTATCAATAGCAGTAAGTTTAGCAACCATAATCTGAGAATAAGCCCAAAGATTATATAGAAGTCATTGAAACTCCAAAGAAGTCAAATGACTCAAGGGCATAAGTTGCCAATTAAGAGTCTTAGAAAAAGGTAGATTAGAAGTTACAAGAACTCGAAAGTGAGATTTAAAAGTTTAAAATTGAAAAGGCAAAAGTCACTGCATTATAATAGGAATACGAAGATTAATTAGAGAGAGTTACTAGAGAGATTGAAGACTTTGAGAATAGAAAAGAACTTGAGGTTGAGGAGATCTAAAATTGGAAAAACGAATAATTAAGTGAGATCAAAGAGGAAAGACTTAAGATTGAGGCTGAGAAACTGGAGCTAGTGACATACAAAGATGAACTTATTCAACAAAAAATAAGATTTGAAGAGGAATTTGCTAAAGAAAGTGAAAGACTGATGTATTAGATAAGATGTTTGGAAGCTGACAACGACGAGCTCAAGCAGAAATTGGCAGAATACACTGATAAGGAAAATTACAGCTTAGCTATTTAAACTGATCCCATAATTGTTAAAGAGGCTAGCATTAGCTCTGTCATGAAAGGAGAGTTCTAAATTGTTAAAGATAAAAAAGATAAAGGTGTCAGCCCACTGAAAGGCATCCTCAAGAATTCAGCTACAAGCCCTAGAGTTATATAAGTAGATGAACCAATACTAACAATACAGAGTGCTTTAGTAACAGAAAATATAATAGAAGATGTGCCTGCTAAATATAGAACTCATTAGTCATTCTAAGATACAATGAACAGAGAATAGCTCTCATAGATTAATTAAGCAGATCAAGATGCCTCCGCAAACATGAATGTTGACTAGGATCATTAATCTCAATTCGATGATTAAACTGATCTATCACATTATTAAAAAAATCTAGATTCAACCTAATCTCCTAAAGGTGAAGATGATGATATCTCTACCTAAAAAGCTTCTACTAAGGATTCAAAGAGCACTGAAGCTTAAAATCAAGCATAACCATAACAATATCAAAAAGTTAAAGAAAACAAATAGAAGTAGCAACTTCAATACTCAGAGCCACCAAAAGTACAATAAAACATTAAGAAGGAGGATGTCCAAGATGAGGATGAAGACGATTCAGAAGAAGATGAGTTTGATTTAAGATTCCCCTCTGAGTATCATGGAAAACAGCTTAATTCCCCAAAGCTAGTTGATGAGGTCACATCTCATGACGGCAAGAAACAGAGATTCTTTGAAAATGGAAAGAAAGAAGTAGTATTCAGCAATGGTGTCAGGAGAGAAGTATGGCCAACAGGATACTCAATAGTTTATTTTACCAATAATGATATCAAGCAAACCTTCCCAGATTAAAAAGTAGTTTATTATTTTGCAGAGGCCAAAACTACTCAGACTACTTTTCCCAATGGTCTCTAGGTATTTAAATTCTCAAACAATCAGATTGAAAAGCACTTCTAAGATGGAACCAAAGAGATATCATTCCCTGATGGAACTATTAAATGTCTATTCCCAGATGGTGAAGAGGAGAGTATTTTCCCTGATGGAACTGTTCAGAAAATTTAGAAGTCAGGTGTCAGAATCATCGAATTCCCAAATGGCCAAAGAGTAAGTTTAATATGAGTTAAATAATTTAGGACGTATTATATCCAGACGGCACCAAAGTGAGAGAGTTTGAAGATGGCTCAATTAAGAAGATCCACTCTGATGGCAGAGTTGAAATGATTTAGAACTCCAAAAAGAAGGTAGCTGTTTCAGGCCAATCTAAAAATCTTAACAAATTTGTGCAATAAACCCCAACACACAACAAAAGAAAATGAACAAATAAAGAGAACGAATTTTTACTCTAATGAAACTAATATGAGCAAACTTTAAAGTCTTATTGAAAGAAATGAAGATAACAATTGATATTAATTTTAATTATGTGCAATATTAATTACTATTATAATATTAATATACAAAGATTAAAGAAAAATGCTGAAGTTTGCTCGTAGATTTAAAAGTGCTACCACTGGTTCCTTAGTCAGATCTGATCTCCCCCAAAACATCACAAGGGTAGCCCAGAGTTAAGACCACTACTACGAGTAAGCATATTCACTTGCCCTTGCTCTTAACAATCTAATCATTTAGGTTGAATGAATATCAACCAAACTCCTTGAAATAATATTTCGGCGAAGATGCTCTCCTATTCCCAGTAGAAACCATTATCTGTAAAATTAAATTCATTTACTCTAGTAGAAAAGAGCGGCTTGAAGGACTATAAATTCTTCTTAGAGCAGAGAAACTTCCTCAAGGTAGTAGATACATTGGAGAAGTTCGAGGAGGGCATGCTTGATAGAAGTTCTGAGTAGGCTCGTGAGTTTGTTGTATTCAAGAAATAACTCTACAAGTTGTATGAGATCAAAAACAGATCAATTACAGAGCACGAACTGTTCTCATTCAGAGTCGAAAGAGAGAACCTCAAATGGCTCTACAGAGCTAACCTCGGATTCCTTGAGGAGCTTGCAAAAGAGGATGCAATTGAGCATGCAGCTGACTCTAAAAATTTAAAGGGTGCAGTCTACAGAAGAAAATTATTGAATCCAAGCAGACTAAAGGGAGTTGGTGCTTTAGCTACTTCCTTAGGCATCTATTCATATCTTCCCTACTTGGCAGTATATGTAGGATCTACCTTGCCAGTTTTCACTGCATGCGCTGCTGGTATTTACGGTCTATTAGTATTCGGAGAGTCAAATGTCATCAATAAACTAAATATTGTCCATGAAGGGGACCATGCTGGCAAAGTCCGTATCAATATTGGAATCACTGCCTTTTCTAGCAAAAACATTCTAGTTGATGTTAGAGATATTAAGTCAGTCCTCTCCCTTGCTGATAATGACCTAGGCAGAGATAACCTAGATGCTAACATGGTTACTGTATCCAAACATTTCGATGAGCATGAAGGAAGAGTTGTTGAAGAAGAAACCATTCTTTAACTCCCTGCTGATGCCTTTAGAGATAGAACCTTCTTAGACTGGATTCTTTCACCAAAGGAGGAAGAAAGTGGACTAGCTCTTGAGTACCACAACCTTATCCATCAAAGATTCATTGAAGGAAATGATATATAAATTAATGCCCTTACTTCTTACAATGTCCCAGCCCAGACCAAGCTTGGAGGTGGTGTAGAAGATGAATTATTGGATCAAAAAATTGAAAACAACGAGGAGATGGTAGATGAAAAACTCAGAGAGCTTTAGCAAATCTATGGGTAAGAATACTTACAAAGCTTAGAAGATGTTGAACTCTACAAACTCTATAAAAAGCATGCTTGAAAATATATACATCGGGCAGTTAGTCTTCAATTGCTGTAACGCATAAGTAGATTTTATATCTCTTTGCATTTTATTTAAACATCTCTATTAATTCCCAAAAGTCTTCATATTATCATTGTGGGGTTTTGGGGTTTTGGGGTTTTGGGGTTTTGGGG